ATCCTCCGGGATTCTTGACACGCAACATCCCTAATCGTGTGTTTTCAAAAGAAAACACGTGATTAGGGAAATTACAGTCCAAAATCCCCAAGATCCCTGAGCTAGGGTTCTGCCGGACTTTGGGACTTAAAATTCGTAACGCTCCGGGCAGATTCGAGACAAGTGGCTATGGGGGTTGGTAGAGGAGACTTAAATGAACCTAGGGTATCGATTTGGGACCATTTGGCATACTTTGGTCTTGGCCGGAAAATATTCAAATCGAGATCGACCAATTCCAGGCATATTCGAGAGAAACTAACCGGGGATTTGGATAGGGAAAGGGAAAAGAGACCTAGGGTATTAATTTAGACCGATTTGTGAGAAGTTGTGTCATGGCCGGAAAAATCTCCGATCTAATATTCGACGCTTTGGAGTGGGATTCGAGACAAAACCAAGACGGGGGTTGGAAAGAGGAGAGGACACTGGTTCTAGGGTGTAAATTTGGGATGATTTGGACGCCGGCCGCTGCCGTGAGCGATTTCCGGCCGGCGGCGGACGGCGGAGGACGGTGGTAGACGGCGGTGTTACGGTGGTAGGCGCGGTGTTACGTGGGTCTCTGAGGGATGGGTTGAGAGATGAGAGGCGAAGGGGTGGGGGGTAGAGGTTCGGACATAAAATATTAACAAACCCAGTTCCGGACCGTTGGATCAACAGAGATCGACGGTCCTGATTTGGTCTGTTAAAGCGGGGTCGTTTTGGATTACTGGGGAAGAGACCGGGTTCTGGGGGCGGGTCGTGGGCCAGTTTGGACGGGTATGGGAGTGTGTTTGGGAAAACGTTTGGGCCTGGGGCTTGGAAATTAAAGATGGCCCAACAGACTTATATTTCTATTTCTTTTCAATTTCAAATCTTTTCTTTTTTTTTTCTAAATAAAACCAATATTAATTTTAAACCAAAATTATCCTACCAAATTAGATTAATGTTCAAAATAATATTTACAACAACTAATTAAATACCAAATTAAAGAAAATTGCTCTTCCAACATTTCAACTTCTTAAGTTCCCAAAATTTGACTAACTCCCAGATTTTCAAATATTTCGGCACAGTCTCCCTTGTAATTGGGCCCTATCCACCTGTCAGAGTAACACCAAAACAACTCCTAACAACATGTCCACAACCCAACAAGTACCACAAGTATATCAATAACACAAATTTCCGCATTACAAGCCCGACATTATCCCAATGATATCTTGACATGAAACGCATCATTTGTATGATCATAACCACATTTCTGGTCTTAATAGTTGTTCACAAATAATTCCATCATTATGTAACTAATTTAAAAAAATGCCCAATTAAATCCTAGATGCAAATGCAACATATTTCTTGTATTTTTCATGAATAAAATAAACATGCACAAACAAATGCAAACAATTAACACAAAAATGCCACCAAATTCACAAAAATGCAAATAATGAAAAGAAGTAATTTTATTTTGAATTTATGGGAATAATTCATATAGGGCAAAAATCACGTGCTCACACGGGTTGCGCGCCGCAACAATTACAGTTAAACGTATGGGTCGGGTTGCGCGCCGCAACAGTTATAGTTAAAGTACGGATCGGGTTGCACGCCGCAACAGTAGTGCTATCATATGGTTTTAGATATTGTACTGTTCCTTCATGTGTTATTCAATTTCTGCTAAGTTGAACTGTTTCCCCGAGGCATGTACCCCCTTCCCTTATAACTGCTCATTACCTGTTTATTTTCTGCAATATATTATATAACTGCACAGTTTTGTCTGGAGTCTGGTGCTAGCCTCGTCACTACCTCGCCGGGGTTAGGCCAGACACTTACCAGCACATGGGGTCGGTTGTGCTGATACTACACTCTGTGCTCTTTTGCACAGATCCAGGTGTTGGGCAGCAGCTACAGTAGCGCGGGAGCTAGCTTCAGTTCAGTGAGACACCGAGGTAGCCTTGCAAGCGTCCGCAGGCCCGGCGTCTCTTATATCTTTTATTTCAGTCTGTTATCTCATGTATTTCGAGACAAACAGTTATAATTTTCTTTCAAACGGTTGTATTTAGCACTCCTAGTAGTTCGTGAGTATGTGACACCAGTTCTTAGTTAGAGGTTTATGTTGAGTTCCGCATTGTTGTTCAGATTCTTTAATTTAAGACTTCCGCTTATTTACTTTATTCTGCTATTTTCATGGTATTACCGATAATTGTTAAAAGAAGTAAATTGATTAATGCTAAAGGTAGTTAAGGGTTGGCTTGCCTAGCTCCATTCAGTAGGCGCCATCACGACTCCCGAGGGTGGGAAATCCGGGTCGTGACAAAGGCGAAGGAACGAAGTTTCCTTTTTATTGGCTATTAAATTGAGCCTCTAAGTTCCCAACGAGAAAATCGGCGGAGGCGTTGGTGCCGGAAAGTTTGTCGATTCAGACGTCTTCGTGAAAATGAATGTCGAGATTGTACTTGACGAGGGCTTGCCTTCTCCCTCTAAGATTCGGGGTGTTTTCCGCAAATATTCCTCTTTACTCGGCGGAACAACCCTTTCTTGCCAGACTGGTAGCGGCCACTAAAAGCATAACCAGAGGAGTGAACGTGGCCACTCCTCTCTACTCGCCGACCGATCGAATTGAGGTAACGAACGATTTCATTGGGTTTAACTGACTATTTTCTAAATGAAATAGAAGCAGGAGCATTCTCCCAGATACACGAACAAGGAATCATCGCCATCGTAAAAAAATTCGAAGACGCCAAGAGACCATTTAAACTAGGACTCGCCCAGGAAATACGTCATATTCTCCAATACAAGTAAAATTAAGCAAACTGGGACTCCCCCAGAAAATACGTCATATTCTCCAATGCAAGCAAAATTAAGCAAATTGGGACTCCCCCAGGGAACCCTTTAAGGCTAAGGCCTTCGCCATCAAAGATCGACAGGTTCGACCTCGTTCAAACTGGGACCAAGGCTAAGGCCTTCGCCATCAAAGATCGACAGGTTCGACCTCGTTCGAACTGGGACCAAGGCTAAGGCCTTCGCCACCAAAGATTGATAGGTTCGACCTCGTTCGAACTGGGACTAAGGCTAAGGCCTTCGCCAAAAATAAGAAGAGTTCGACCTCGATCGAACAACGACGGGTTAACATTTCGATAAGTCGAAATAACACCCTTTAAGGCCAAGGGCCTTCACCAAAAAGAAGAATTCGGCCTCGTCCGAATCAACGTTCGGCCTCGTGCGAATCAACTTTACGGCCAAGGGCCATCGCTAAAAAAGGGGGGGTCGACCCTTATGGCCAAGGGCCATCGCCAAAAAGAGGAGGTCGGCCCCAACGACCAAGGGCCATCACCGAAAAGAAAAATTCGGCCTCGACCGAATCAACCTGCGGCCTCGACCGAAACAATATTCGGCCTCGTCCGAATCAACCTTATGGCCAAGGGCCGTCGCTAAAAAAGTGGGGGTCGACCCTTATGGCCAAGGGCCATCGCCAAAAAGAAAAATTCGGCCTCGACCGAAATAACATTCGGCCTCGACCGAATTAACCTTCCGCCTCGACCGAAACAACATTCCGCCTCGTCCGAATAAACCTTAGAGCCAAGGGCCGTCGCTAAAAAAGAGGGGGTCGACACTTATGGCCAAGGGCCATCGCCAAAAAGAGGAGGTCGACCCCAACGGCCAAGGGCCATCTCCAAAAAGAAAAATTCGGCCTCGACCGAAATAACATTCGGCCTCGACCGAATCAACCTTCAGCCTCGACCGAAACAACATTCGGCCTCGTCCGAATCAACCTTCGGCCTCGATCGAAACAACATTCGGCCTCGTCCGAATCAACGTTCGGCCTCGACCGAATCGACCTTGTGGACAAGGGCTGTCGCTAAAAAAGAGGGGGTCAACTCTTATGGCCAAGGGCCATCGCCAAAAAGAGGGGGTCGACCCCAACGGCCAAGGGCCATCGCCAAAAAGAAAAATTCGGCCTCGACCGAATCAACACTCTACCTCGTCCGAATTCACATTCGGCCTACTCGCACGTCCAGATCCGAGGGCGCGAATAACCTCCTCTGATGCCGCCATCTTGGCCTCGACGGCCTTCTCCAATTCTACCGCCTTCCCGATCGACTCATCACTCGAGTCATTGGCCCTGATCGAACTCTACTGAAGTTCAGCCCACGGGGATACCACTAACCTAAAGATCGGCACCCTCGGTCGCGATCCAAACTAGTCGACCTCCCCATCCGAATTTCTCAAATTACGATTAATGAAGTCCGCTCACCGAGCTCGACCAAAAAAATTGCCTGTATATCACCTAAAAATTGTCCATATATGAATTATGATCTCCTAAGTGATCTTCGGTTGATCGCTTATTAGTTATTATTATCAGGATTATATTATTTTTTATAAATTTTGAAATCCTGATGAAATCATAGATGACTTACGTGTTATTTAAATATCGCTCATGTATTATTTATAATTACATAAGGAATCTCCGATTGATCGCTTATATGTTTCAGATTAAATTTTGATGAACTACTTTGAAAATTTATAACAAAAGAAATTTCTAATTTTACTGCACTGAACAATTACGGGGGACGATAGTTTACCTTTCTCCTATTTCTTTGTTTTTTCATTATTTAATTCTTTTATTGATTCGTGCTAAATTCTTTGTTGTCTTTAAGTTTAACAGCCCGTTTGGAATAAGAATCCTTTTTTCCAAAAAATATTCACTTTTTTTTTGAAATTATTATTTATTCATAAAATTTCTAATTTTCACTTAAAGATATATTTTGAAAATTTTCAAAAATTTAAAAAACTCCAAAAACCTGTTTTTTCAAAAATTCACTCAAATCACTCACAAAACATCAAACAACCCAAAATTATATTCATGTCCAAACACAATTCTAAATTTTAAATACCATTTTCACTTGAAAATCTTTTTTCGCCCTGTTTTAGAATTTTACAATTTTTATGTAAACGCTTAAATAGTACTATAACAAAGTTTATTACTTTCCCCAAAATCATCTCTCTCTTAAAAGAGAAACCCCTCCCCTTTCTTACTTTCCCCATCGCCTTGCCGCTGCTGCCACCACCGATCGCCACCAGTTCACCGCCAGTCCTTCACTGTAACTGTAAGTCTCTCTGCTAGTTCTCTCTCTTTGTTTATTTCAAAATTTTCGTATTTGGATTTCTCTTAAAAATCAATATTTTCTGCAGGTAAATTTTCGTTTTTGTTTAAATTTGTGCTAGATACGGTACTTTCATGTTAAGCTTCTAATTAAGCTTTTTGTTTCTTTGTGGTTGTTGTTGATGGTTTTCATTTGAAGTTTAACTTTTCAAGCTGAATTCAAATTTCTACTTGAAAATGTGTATGACATCCGAGTTCAATTGAACTTATGACTTGTAGGATAATGTTTCTAGTTCTTGTAAATTGAAATGGATAACCTGACCTGACAAGACGGATAATCCGAACCGAAGCACAAAATTGATCAAACCAGCTAAATGTATATCCTATTTGGACCATGTAAATAGCTACATGTCAACATTCAAAGCAGTTGGCAAGCAGAATATCCAAATCCTAGATTCATTTATCGTCCCAATTCAGTTGCATTCAGTCCTAATTAAGAACTACTTGATGGAGCAAATTAAATGAATTCGCGATGCCAATGATTCAAGTATCCTAGTGTAACTACCATTTTTGAAATGTAAGACTATTTGGGAACTTAATTTTGGTCGTTAAATAAAGAGTTTAAGCTATATATGCTTATAGTTTGTACACAGTGAGTGTAATCTGACTAGCTATTGCAACTTATATCATATTTGATATGAAATGTTGTCTGTTATTGTAGGTCAACTTAATCTAACCTGATAGTATAAAAGTTTTTTAACTTTGAAGCAGTGCGTACAGAACATCAACTAATAAATTAGCTTTAAGCTTCTCTTTAAGCTCCCTCCTGCACTCTTGAACCTTTCCGAATGGTGCCCGAGTCTAATTAATACGACGCAAAAACTTTTAGAAGTTGAAATCAACTTCTTTATCCGTTTGACTTGATCTTCCAATTACAACTACTCAGAAAGAAGAGAGAATATGGATATGATCAAAGTTGGCCCAGTGGGAGGACAAGCTGGATCATTTTGGGATGAAAAGGGACGAGACCAAGTAGCTGGGATTTTTGTTTCCTACAGCAAAGACGCAGTTGAGTCACTTCAGTTCCTATTCTATGAGAGTGGAAACTCAGTTCTGTCAAACAAACACGGTGTTTTTTATCATAGTCAAAACTTTTATGCAGTTGTCTTTGATTATCCATCAGAGTTTCTTACTTCGATAAGCGGTTACCACGGAAAGCTGAACCAGTACGACCCTAGAGTTTTGAAAACTATAAAATTTAGCACCAATAAGGGTTCCTATGGACCATTTGGGTGTACCCAGCCTTCAACTGATACCAGGAATTTCATCTTTCTGATGGAAAACCGTTGTCTTTTTGGTAGTTTTCATGGCAGCGAGAATGGCTCTGGCGTTGAGAGTATTGGGATCTATGTGAAGCCCATCATGCCCTCCTTGATTGTCACGACCCAAAATCCACCGAGGGTCGTGGTGGCGCCGGACACCGCTGTCAGGCAAGCCAACCAAAATACTTAATTAACTTCCAATTTTTGTATTGTCTAAAATCATTTTTTTTTCTTTATACATTAAATAATGAATAATAAAAATTTACAGAAATAACCGCGAAGTCTTTAACAAAACATAACATTTAATAATCCAAAAATCCTCCCAGAACCCGGTGTCACGAGTGCATGAGCAATTTCTAAGAAATAATATAATACAACAATCGTCCGGAGTACAATATTGGACAAAAATAAATACAGAAAACTGAAAGAGACTCTGCTGGCTGCGGTTCGCCTCGAGAAGTGCAGCTCACCTAAGTCTCCGTGTCATCCGTGCTGCTACGCCCAGTAGGCCACTAGAGATGCATGTGCCTGTGCAACAAAAATGCACAGAAGTGTAGTATGAGTACGAAAACAACGTATACTCAATGAGTATCCCGTCTAATCTCGAAGAAGTAGAGACGAGATGGTCGCCTTCGACACTTACTAGTGGTCCAATAATGATATATCAATAATATGTTAAATCGCGGATTTTTATAAACATGATATAATTCGATAGGTTGAAGCAAATGAACAATTTTTCCTTTATAGGAAATTTCCAAATTCCTTTTATCATTTATACAATTATTCTCAAGCCGGAAAGAGGCTATAACAACTTTAGTAAGTTTCAAGGCAAGCAATACAAGCATGCGCAAATCATGCTGAGGTGTACGGCCCGCTCCAACGGAAAATAAAATGTGCACTGCCGAGGGTCGAACGGCGCGAACCATAGATGCATCATTTCCCCCACTCGCGAACTATCCAAGCGACGCGGTCAACATAAATTAAACAATCACCCTGCTCGCGAATCATGCATGCGACGCAGGTACACATAGAAATACATGCTCAGATAGCAAATTAAGAATCTATCAGAGAATATTTATTCAAATAAAAGCCACTTTCTCTTTTAACAATTTAAGAAAAGAAGTTTAATCCTTTTTGAACTTTATTTATTAATTCTATGTGGTTTAAGCAATCCGAGCTGTCAATAGGTTTACAATTAATCCAAGTATAGCATGCTTTTGGGTCCTATACTACCCGGACAGTAGCATAATAGTAGCTACGCACGGACTCTCGTCACCTCGTGCGTACGTAGCCCCCACAAATAGGAGCACATAACCAATTAATTCACTTATGGGGACAATTCCCTCTTACAAGGTTAGAAAGGAGACTCACCTCGCTCCAAAGCGCACTTCCAATATAAAGAACAAGCCCAAGCCCTCGAATTCGGAGTCGAACGATCTCAAACTAGTTAAATGAAGTAAGAACTAATTAATATAAGCTCACAAGATCGAATTCTAGCTATTCAAGCCATTTCCCAACTATTTACATGGGTTTCCTAAATTCCACCCCGGGCCCACGTGCCCGGATTCCGAAATTTTTCGAAGGAAGTCGTTCTCTACTACCTAAGGATCAATAATATATGATTTCTAGTTCATTTCATAACAAATTTCGTGGTTAAATCTTAGTTTTATTAAAACCCTAGGTCTAGCTCTAACCCCTTTGATTTTACCAAATTTTTGGTGTTTAATCTACCCAATATACATGTATTTAACTAAGGATGAATGGAAATATCTTACCTCAAAATGATATGTTGAAATCCCCTCTTTGGAAGCTCTCAAATCGCCCAAGTATTGGTAGAAATGAAACAAATGCTCAAAGTCCCGTTTTTAAAATCCATGCCCAGCCTCCGATGTCGCAATTGCGACACCAGGCTCGCAATTGCGAGGTCGCAATTGCGACAAAAAGTTCGCAAATGCGAACAGACCCCTAGCCTGCCACGATCGCAAATGCGATGCACGGGTCGCAAATGCGGACACCCAGGGTTCGCAAATGCGAAGAAAGGCTCGCAAATGCGGACACCCTGGTTTCGCAATTGCGAAGAAGAAGGTCGCAAATGCGACCACTGCCCAGCCGGTCCCAGTTCGCAGCGCTCGCAATCGCGATGGCCTTCTCGCAATTGCGAGACCTGCAGCAGGGGCAAAAATACCAGAAAAACTGGTATGTTTTCCTACCTCCAACCATGCCTGAATCTCACCCGAGCCCTCGGGGCTCTACTCCGAACACTCACGCAAGTCCTACAACAATGTGCAAACTTGCTCAAGCAATCAAATCGCCTAATTAACACCTAAAACCACGGATTTAACCCCAAAATGCATGAATTCCTCAAGAACACCCAAATTCCTATCTTTTCAACCGAACGCCCGAATCACGTCAAATCAATCTCGTTTCTCACCAAATTTCACAGACAAGACTAAAATATTATACCGAACCTGTACCGGGCTCCGGAACCAACATACGGGCCCGATATCAATGTGATCAAGCATTTTTCCTTTTTATTAAACTCTTAGGATTTCAATTTAACAATTTTCAATAAAAATTCATTACTCGGGCTAGGGACCTCGGAATTCGATTCCGGGCATACGCCCAGGTCCCATATTTTTCCACGGACCTCTCGGGACCGTCAAATCACGAGTCCGGGTCCATTTTTTCAAAAAGTTGACCGAAGTCAAACTTGGTCTTTTAAGGGAATCTTAAAGAAACAATTAGACATATTTCACACAAAACTCTTCCAACTCCCGAACCAACCGTCCCCGCAAGTCGTAAATTAGCTAAAGCAAGTACGGAAGGTTTTTTTTAGGGGAACGGGATTCTAAAAGGCAAAACGACCAGTCGGGTCGTTACATTCTCTCCCACTTAAACATACGTTCGTCCTCGAACGTGCTGAGAACTGCACTGAAGTAGTCTGAAATCACTGTTTAACTTCTCATGCACCTTCCCGTACTACCACAACTCAGTTGAGCACATCAGCTCGATCAATTCTGAAGATATTCTCTTTTATTCAAGCAAATAAGCCTTAGAGCCCAATTTCAACATCCGGAATTCTATGCCCGACCTATCCAACATAAGATCACCATATCAATCACTACACGTTGTACCCAAACATGGCTGCATAACTTTGCTGAATTCACATCTAGCATCACTTTACTCACCGGACCACAATAATATTTTCTGATCAACTTAGTCAAAATTCCACGAATCTGATGCTCCCATTGCACCCCATGACATACACAGGTCTTACTCTAACTCTTACAATGCCGCCACAACGGAAGAGATGTGCAAAAATTCATAATCGATTGCCGAGTCAACCAATCATTGAATCTATACTTCTGACAAGAAACATTACCTCATTCTGAACCAAATAATGATCTTTGCTCCTTAATATATTTCACGTAATTAGATTGCACTGATCCTAAATCCAACAATCTCGTCTCACCCAATACGAACTGCTCAGGCAATAAGCCACCCCGACATAACCAAAAGTCCCTATGATGCCACAATGTGCCAATAGGCTACCAATTAGGATGCGATACAAAAAGGAAAATGAACTCTGAAAAGGAATTTCAATTACCCCGCTCGCGAATCATACATGCGACGCGGGCGCACAGCTAATATGAGTTTCCTCAGAAAATAGGAAACAGAACACAAAAAACACATATGAGAAACTGTACCGAACATCACACTATTGCAGCGCGCAACCCGATCCGAGCAATCATAACCATGGCGGCGTGCCACCCGATCCACACAACATAACCATGGCGGCGTGCCACCCGATCCAAATAACATACCCATGGCGGCGTGCCACCCGATCCACACATGGAACTCACATAAGGAGATGTACATCGAGCTAAATCGCTCATTACAACAAAATACTGAATATTAGTCATAAACACGCTAAGTGTATAATACCATTCCCTGGGGAGACATATAACGCTATAATCCACAATTCGAGCACAACTGAAGTGCGATAAATGATCTGAATCTCAAGAGCCATCCTGCTCATATAACCTCATCTCTATGCGGAACCTCAACACATAAGAAATTCACCAAGCCGTCTCACAACTCGCACGACGCAATACATCATTACATGAAATAGCTGACAACGAAATAACACCCCGACTCCCTTCCATAAGGAGCGTATTGCTGAGATGAACACATCTGGCCTGATATAAGCCCCTGTTCACATTTAAATCAATCCACTGATCTCAAGCCGATTTCTAATTGCACCAACTAGGCTAATAACCTTTCAAAGGTCCATAATAACTCCCCTTTTCTCATAACACATAAGGA